GCAAGGTCAGCCTCCCCATTGCCACAGAGGCCAAGATGGAGGCTGATGGGGGATGAGCCTGCCCTGAAGATCCATAGCAAGGTGATGCTGAGAACCTTCCCTCTAGCTCTTTCCCTTTGCCATACTCCTTCCTGAGTTCTCTTGCTGGGTTTTGGGGCAGCACCAGGAACCAAGAGAATGTGGATTGCAATCCCAGGTTGGCCACTAAAGCACTCCCCTCTCACTGGGGGAAGGTTTTGACTCCTGTCTCTGGGCCTCAACCAGCGTATTTGTGTATCACGAGGGTGCTGTCTAGTGACCCACCATCCCAGTTGGCCTGACCAAGGGGTTTCAGGGATGTGGGACTTTTGGTGCTTGTCTAATGGAACCTGGACGAGGTGATCACCCCAGTGCTATTATTCCTTTCAAAGGGCACCAGTGAGACAAAAAAAAAAAAAATTGCTTAGTGCTTAGCAATTATGCACAAGTGATTCTTAGCATGGAACTGAAATGGAAAGTACCTGTGGGTGGAAATTTTAGCTGATGGATTTCTAAAAATCAGCTCTGCCTTAGGAGGGAGGAGGAAGCCGTGACTGCGTCCCTAGTTCTGGCCTGAGATAGGTACTATAACAGTCCCTCTCTGGGGGTCAGTGTCTTGTCTATGGATGGCAGGGAAGCACTAGAAGGTTCCCAGGGCTCTGCAGTGGCTCTGTGCTATTTAATCTGAGGTCTAAACATGGGAAGTGTGTTTACAGAGCTTCTCAATGACTTGAAGGCAAGTCTTCTCCTGAGCCTTCAAACTCGGGTGTCTGCCTTGGTTTCTTCCCCTGTAAGAGATGGCAGCCCCTGCCTTGCAAGGCTGGAGGATAGTCAGCCCCCCACCCTCAAAAAGCTTACAGTTCATGCAAGATGTTTCAAAACAGGGCTCAAGGAGCTGTCTCCTTAGCCCCACAGTATTTATTTTAGAAGACATTCAAACTGCAACCAAGATGTCTATTCAGTAGATGAGTAACTATGATGCATATATACTATGGGATATTACTCAGCGATGAAAAGAAATGAATTCTCAAGCCACAAGAAGACATGGAAGAAGCTTAAATGCCTATTACTAAGTGAAAGAGGCCAGTCTGAAAAGGCTACACACTGTATGGTTCCAATTCTATGATATACTGCAAAAGATAAAACTATGGAGACAGTAAAAAGATTGATAGTTGTCAGGGGCTTGGCGGAGGGGGCAGGATGATTATGTGCAGCTTGGGGGATTTTTAGGTTAGTGAAACTCCTGTATGATACTGATATGGTGGATACATGTTATACATTCGTCAAAGTCCACAAAATGTACAACACAAAGTAACCCTAATATAAATTCTAGACTTTGATTGATAATATGTGGTAGTGATAATATAATAATAATGATGTAGGCTCATTGATTATAACAAATGTACCCCTCAGTGCATAATGTTGATGGTGGGGAGGTCAGACAGTACATGAAAACTGTACTTTCAGCTTAATTCTGATGTGGATCTAAGGCTGCTCTAGAAAAGAGTCTATTAATTTTTTTTATTAATTTTTTAAAGAAAAAATGTTATTCTTATTTAAAATTTTTTTAAATTTATTTTTTACAATTTTTTTTTAAAACAAAAAAAATGTTTGAGCAGCCAATCCATAAACATAGGGAACTGAAAATCACATTTCCAGCTAATCACTTTCCAGCTTCCCTTGAAAAATCACTTCTGGATGTCTGGATCTCACCTGGGGACAGTACCCACCTGGCAGGCTTACTGCTTCCCATATATCACCTGCCTGGCCCTTGAAAGCATTGGAGTTTGAGACTCAGTCTAGATTATTGGTTCTCAACTGGTGGCAGTTACATCTGGGGATGTTTCCAGTTGTCACAACTGGGTGTGCTACCAGCATCTAGTGGGTTGAGCCAGAGATGCTGTGAAATATCCTGAAATGCCTGTAATAGCCTCCACCTACAGAGAACGATCTGGCCCTCACTGTCACTTAGGCAGACGTTGGGCAACACTGGTGCAGAGTTGATTCTTAGCTGGGGAACTTAAAAAAAATACTGACACTGGTACCGTGCATAGTGCTTCTGATTCAAATGGAGGAGTGCTGTCGGAACAAGAGGATTCTGAAAAGCTCCCCAGGTGAGTTGAATGTGGAGGCATATTTGAGAACCACTGGTCTGGAAGGTTCTTTGGTTAGGCTGAGGCTTAAAAGTATCCAGGACTATCATTCATTCATTCAATCATGCAGCCGACATCCACTGCTTCCTCTTCTCTTCTTGCAGAGAGCTAGGGGTCCTGGAGCTGAGCCAGACCTGGTCCTCTCTGCCCTGTTAAGGAGCTCCAGGTCTAAGAAAGAGCTCCTGCCTCTTTTCATTCATCACTTCGTAAATGTTATGCAGATTCTGGTTCAGCAGGTCTGGGTGGGGGAGGGCCTGGCATTCTGCATTTCTTAACCAGCTCCCAGGGGCCAAAGATGCTGTTCACCTGAGGACCACACTTCGAGCTCTGTCCTCATTCAGGATTCTCATGAAAGCCTGACCCAGAAAATGCCCGCATCCCAGGAAACACATCCTCCCACGGCCTTACAAATAATTGTAACAAGTGCCTTAGACCCTACTACCGACAAAGCTCTCAATACATCTTCACAATAGCCAGGCAGAAGAGTTCAGGATTATGTTCTGATGAGCCTATTTCATAGGCTAAAGCTCACGGAGGCGCAGTAACCAGCCTGATATTTAGTCAGTGGTAGAGTAAAACATCTGACTCTTAATTCAGAGATTTTTCCTAAAAGCCAGCTTGGCTGTCAGCTTCACAGGTGTGCTGCCTTTGCAGTTGCCCAAGACCTTGTGTTTGGAAGGGTCCCACATTCAGCTTAGTGCTCTGTTGTCCCCATCTTGAAATTCTGAATTTCTGAGTGAGGGGCCCTGTAGATTCTGTAGCTGGTTCTGCAATCTGGCGCATAGATTCTGGGAAGAAACCTTTATAGAGGCTCAGCAGGAACACCAAACAGGGGGCTAACAGCTAGGTCCAACACTTCCCTTTTCTAAGGGGAAGCAAGTACCCCAGGGAAATTGCAGTGAGTCTTGGGGTCTGGCAGACCTGGGTTTGCCTCCCAAGGCTGTCATCTACCAGCTGTGGGACCACAGGTTCGTTGCATATGTAAATTAGCTTAGCCACTATTTCCTATTTCCCCAGGTACAAACAGAGGGGGTTTGAATTGGGCAAGCGTTTCTGAATCTTGACAGCATGCAGTAATCACTGGGGAGGGGAGCTTGAAACATGGGCATGCAGGGCCCTATCCCAGATATTCTGATTCAATTTTTCTGGAGTGGAGATGAGATGGGGGGTTAAGAGCCCCGGGGAGACCCTAATAAGCAGCTAGAGTTATGAACCACTGAATCTTCCTTACCTTCAGGAACCTTCAGGCTCCAGTACCTCTAGTTCAGATGATTTATTTACTCTGGCAGAAATATCTAGACCCCTTCCCTCCCCTCGCATGCTCCCAGCCAGTGAGGACCTCTTTCCTCTAGACACTTGTGTCCTACATCCTTACAGGGCTCCAGCCCTCTACAGTTATAGATTTCCCAAGGTGTGCTAGGTTCTGTACTTGCTCAAGGGACTGGCCAGAGCCACCAAAAATTCATCTTGGACAAGGAAATGCAGTCCTGTGTTTATGCTAAGACATACAAAGCTTATTTTGCTTTGCAAAGTAACTGATCTGCAGAATAGCTTTTAAAGAATAGGCTCTGGCTTGTGAACGGGCAAAAATAAAATGGAACAAAAATACTTGGCAAGCAGAGTATGATCCTATTTGCATAAAATCGTGCTTTACCATCTCTAAGTACAGGGTTATAAAGGCACAGAAGAGAGGTCTGGAAGGATGGGCAATACCTCAACTGTAATGATCCCTTTTGCGTTTCTCAACTTGATTTTTAAATACACAGAAGCACCCATTTTTCTAATCTGAAAAAAAAAAAAAAAGGTATTCCATTCCGGAGAGGAGAATACAGGGGTAATTTACATCTAAGTGGGAGAAAGGGTCACTAAGTTTCGGGATGAGAGATCCCTTTTCTAAAGCTAAATTCTCTAGTCCGTTTCGTTTGCTGGTGTGCTATACTTGTTAAAACGCTAGGAGATGAACAAGAAACATTCAGTGAGCCTTATCTAAAAATAGAATGCATTCTAAGGAGGCTATTTACCATTATCTAAAAAAAAAAAAAAAAACGCTTAAAAACAAAACAAAAAAACCAACCCAAGAACCAGAGTCTCTTTTTCCTTCTGCGATTCTCCGCGAGGGTCTGGAGCTGGCGGCCGTACGCTAACCCCAAGTCACCCTGCCCTACGGCCGATTCTGCTCAGTAAGTAGAAAGGATCCGCGCCACGGCTGGAAAAATTCCCGCCGGCAGCAGGAGACCCAGCTCCGCTCGGCCCGAGGAGGAGGGGAGATCGCCCCAGGGCCGCAGCGGAGCGGGGGCACCCGTGTCACTTTCTGCGAACCGGATTACTGCCCCCAGCACTGCCGGCCCTTATATAGACACTCAACAGCCGCTCGGGCTCTGCGCGCCAAGGGCAAGGAGGGAGGTCACGGCTGCAGGCGGCCAGGACATCTGGACAGGCCAGCAGCGCCGACCCCCCTGCGCCCTCACCACCACCTATGCCGCTTCCTCAAGTCCACACGACCCTGCCGGGACCCCTGACCTTCTCTCCTAGCCCCCTCCCCAGCACCTGTTCCCTCCGCTCCGCGCAGCCGCGTTCCTCTCCAGCCCTCCCCCACCCCGGCCCCACCATCCCGGGGGCTTCTCTCCTTGCCCTCCCTCTGGTCTTCCCCCTCCTCCTGCCCTCTCCATGCGGAGGAACCGCACGATCCCGGCACCTGCTGCTCCGCGGATCCAGCCCCGGGGGCTGTGCCCCGCCATGATCGGGGGCTTCCCGCACCTCGCCACCCGCAGGTGTCCTACACCCCCGCCCCGCGATGCCGGCCCCCACGGGCTCCTCGCCCTGGCTCACCTGGCTCATACTTGAGGTAGAGAATGGAGACGATGAAGTAGCTGAGGTCGAAGACGGGGAAGAGCGGCACCCGCGAGAAGCTGAGCGCCAGCTCGCCTAGGCTCAGCGCCGAGAGCAGCTCCATGGCGCCCGCCGGGTCCCACCCCAGCCCCCGGCCCAGTACGTCCCGCAGCCCGCGGCCCGGCGACTGCGCCCCCGCCGCTGGACCCGCCCCCGCCCGCCAGGCACCGCCCCCAACCCGGCCCCCGTGGGAGAGGAGGCGGGTCGCCCCGGGGCGGGTGGTGGGGCCGTCTTGTCCCCAAAAGCCCAGTCGGTGTCCCAGACTCCGTCCCTCGGGCCATCACGACCCTCGTCAGCCCAGCAAGGCAGGGTGTAGGGGTCCCTATGGTGTGATCTGGACAGGCTGGCTGCCCACCCAGGAGGGATGGATCAGTCAGGACTCCTTAGGACCCATGTCCCCCGGAGCCCTTGGATCGCGACCTGCATCCTCTGTGGGTCCCGGCCAGTTGCGAACCCCATCTTCCCGTGCCCTAGAGGGTCAAGACCCCGTCCTTTACGGAGCTGTCATGACGCTAGTCCTCTGTGGGGCTCCGTAAGTCGTGACCTCCATTCCCCACCGGGATCCCGATTCTCCGAGGGGACAGCTCGGTCGGACCTCCGCCCCCAGTAGCTCCAGCTTCCCCCCGGGCCCCGGAGGAAGCTCCCCCCGCGGGAATCCTGCCCGGAGAGCCCCCTGCATCAGGACCCATTCATTCCCCAGTGCCGCTCAGTGGTCAGGAGGCCGGGTTCCTCCGGAAGCCGGGCGGGAGACCCCAGCCCAGAAGGAATAGTTACGGCGCTAATTCTCCAGCGCGCCGAGGCCACACGCCTGCGCGGCACGCCTCCAGCGCGTAACCCAATCCCGCCCGGGATGACCAACGCTCCCGGGTGACGTCACGCTCCCGCCCCGCCCCTTCTTCACTACCCTCGAGGCCTCCCCAGCGAGCAGGGGCGCTCGTTCTTTCCTAAAGGGGCCTGGGCCTGCGGAGGGCGGGACCCTGCCTGCCTTGGCCTTCGATTGGGCCAGTCCTCGCCAGCGCGGCTTCGAGATTGGTCGGCTCTTGCCCTTCTCTCCGCCCCCTCCGGGACTTCCGCTTCCGGTTCTGACGGACGCTTCGGCCGTAACGATGATCGGGGACATCCTGCTGTTCGGGTAATTAGGGGGGCCAGAGGCTGGGGTAAGAAGGGTGAGAGGGACGAGGGGCGGTCCAGGTAACCTCATTCTCCCTTTGCAGGACGCTGCTGATGAACGCAGGGGCGGTGCTCAACTTTAAGCTGTGAGTAGGCCGCTTTGGATCGCGGCTCCACCCAGGGGACCCGCAGCCCCGCCCCCCGCGAGCGTGAGCCCGCCCCGCGCTGCAGGCCACGCCCCAAGCCCCAGCCAGCCCTCTGGCCACGCCCCCAGCCTGGTCCTCCTGTGACCTTTTGCTCCATGGTGACTTGAAAGCAAGGCTCCAGTTTCTCGGGGATCTCTCTTCCCGCATCCTGGAGAGCCTCTGGCCCTTCCCCTCTCTACCCCCCAATTTTTTTCTTTTTCTTTTTTTTTTAAGATTTTATTTATTTACTCATGAGAGACACAGAGAGAGAGGGAGAGACACAGGCAGAGGGAGACGCAGGCTCCACGCAGGGAGCCCAACATGGGACTCGATCCCCGGTCTCCAGGATCACGCCCCGGACTGAAGGCAGCGCTAAACCGCTGAGCCACCCGGGCTGCCCTCCCCCCCAATTTCTTAGCCCTATTCTGTACCCACGGACCAACCTCTCGACCCTGGTGGCTGCAGCCCTGTGATTGATGGGTAGTTGATGGCCTAGAAAGAGGCATTGAACCACCCGAGGTCACAGAGCAAGTCAGCTGCAGGGCTAGAGCTGCAATTGAGTGTCTGAGGCCTTCAGGGCTAGGGGACTGAGTGGACTTTATGTCCCACCGAAAGTGGACACTGTCTGTTCCTCTTTGTAGGAAAAAGAAGGACACGCAGGGCTTTGGGGAGGAGTCAAGGGAGCCAAGCACAGGTAAGGCCTCCTTTCTGTACTCTGACATTGGTCCATTGGAGAGAGGACAATTTTTTCTCACCAAGCCCTACCTTAGTTTTCTTTTCAATTGTGTCTGTGTGTATGTGTGTGCGTTTGTGAGAGGGAGAGAGAGCGAGATGGGCCTAATGATGTGCTGTTCCTTCTGTTCACTTCTATCACCCTCTTCTTTCTCCTATCAGAGCTCCCTGGGTAGCTCCTCTAACTTCTTGCAGTTATAATTTTCTTATACGCATGCTATCATCTGCAGTTATGATTTTCCTTTACGTATGCTGTATTTGCCCCTCACACTTGATCTTGCTTGCTTTGGCCCATTCCTGTGTCCTTGAGGTGCCTATCCTCCGGCATGAATGAATGAATGAGCAGGTACCCGTTCTTTGAGAGTGCTGCAGACCTGTTCTTTTTAAATTAGGTGCCAACATTAGCTTCCAGATAAATCAGATGTCATGTAAGGATTCAGATGTCTGATTTATCAAGAAAAATCTGAACATCCTAACAGCTCAGGGTTCAAGCAACCTCTTGGCACCCTTGGATCACGCTGAGAAAAACAGGACTCCAGTGAGGCAGGGTCTGTGGCCTCTACTTCCTCCCAGCCCCAACCCCCTCATCTTTGTATCATCTCACCTGTCCTGGAGGCCCTGAATTTTACACTTTCTGCCGAATTTATTCATGTAACTCTTTGAAACCTAGTGGGACCCGCGCATGACTCTTGTGTCAATGCATTTATTCATTCACCAAGCATTTACTGAATACTTGCCCCATGCTGGCCACTGCGCTGGATGCTGGGGACACGGCAGGGAATAAGACAGATGAAATTCCTGCCTTGTGGGTTGTACTACTCTGAGGTGGGACATGCAGTTCCTAAACAAGGAACCAGTGGTGATGGAGGTGATGTTAGGTGAGCATAGTGTTGGGATTGCTGCTCCAGCTGCGGTGTGTGGAGGGAAGTCCCCCTGAGGGGGGTGGCATTGCAGCCATGGGTGCCATGATGGAGTGTTTCATGAACGCGATAGGAACCCAAAGGCGCAGTGAATTTGATGACGATCTGACCACTCCCTTTCATTGGGTGCCTAGTTGGTGGTGGCTGCCTTGCCAGGTGCTTCCTGTGGGTGTGTCACTCCACTTCTATCCCTTTTAGATAGGAAACTGAGGTTCAGGGTTGTGGCTTGACTTGCTTGTGGCCATGTAGGAAATCAGTGACTGTGTCGTGCTTCAACCTGGGTTTTTCTGCCCCCAGAGGTGGTCTTCTCAGTCACTAGACCATCCATCCATTCATTCTTTGGTTCATGTGTTTCATTCAGCAGCTGTATATATTGGTTGCCCATTCTGTGGAAGGTATTGTACCAACTCCTGGGGTGGTGGTCTAGAGATCTAAATTGGAGCTGGGGTGGGTGGGTGGGTGGGTGGGTAGAAGGACTTGATGGTGGTGAGAATGTCAGTGATCAGGATGGTCACAACAGTGACTTCTCTCTGATCAGGGGCTCTCTGCATGTTCCTTCCAGCCAGTCCTCTGTGCTTGCTGCTGCCACTGCGGAGGACGTGCCTCTCCCTGTGCCTGGCTCACCCCTGATATCGTAGTGACTACATTTGTTGAGAGCTGTCTGTGTGCTAGGCACCGTGATTCCTAGTGGTTTGTCACCTCCATTTACACAGGAGGAGGTTGGTGTATGTATAGGCTAAGGACTGAGCAAGGTCACCTGTGTGGGAGGGCAGGAAACTCCTGCCGGTGTTTAAGGTTGGAGCTTATGCTTGGAGCTTATGCGCTTCCTCGAAGTTTTCTGACCCTCCTCCCCGACATAGGCTAGGTTGGAATGCCCCCTCCCCCACCATTGTATGCTCCCATGGCATCTGGTATGGTGAATAATCAGGTGTGTGATTTCTTGTTTAGTATTTTTCCTGCGTGTGAGCTTCTTAGGGCAAGGATACCTATCTTTTTCCTTTGTTCCTCCCTGTGTCCCCTGAGCTTGGCTATTGCCCAGAACAAGTGGCCTTCAATTAGCATCTGTTGATGGCAGGAGAGCCTGTTTTTGTGATGCTGGGCCCAGAGAAGGGCCTCGCAAGCAGTGCCTCTCAGACATCCTGGGGATGGACCTGTGTTTGACGTTTGCAGTTTGGGCTGGGCTGCATGTGGCTATCCCAGTGGGTTGAATAATACCGGGCTCCTCTAAACTGTTTGCTCATCGTGTATTGGATGGTGCTGCGGTGCCAGGTGGCTGTGTAAATTTCTGAGCTCCTGCCTGGTATTCTGTACTTACTGGGCAGCCCTGGTCTATAGATGACGCTTTGGGTGGCATCCTTGTGGATTACCCCACCTGGACCCATTCATTTCATTCTGGAGGATTAGAGAGGGAGGATGATTGACTTAAAACCCTGGAGGAAGGTTCTGGAACCCACGCCTTTAGAATCTTAACGTACTAAACTGCTTCCCTTTGGAATGGGTTCTGTTCTGTGGCATTGGGGGGACTAGTGTAAGTCATCATCAAAGCAGAACTCCGCTTTTACTTGCCTGAATTAGTATGCTTTTTCAGTGCCAACACCAAAAACCCAGCCCAAAGTGGTTAAAGAAAATTGAAACCTCCAAGGGTAGAACTGTTCTCAGGCACCACCCAGACTGAGGCCTTAAATCAGCTCTCCTGCATGACCCTCTCCAGCTCTCTCTTTCCTTCTGGGTTGATTTTACTATCAGTCTGGCTTGTGTTGACTAAAGATGACCCTAGAGCAGGGCTTGGCACAATTTTCTTTCTTTTCTTTCTTTTTCTCTTTCCTTTCTTTCTTCCCCTTTCTCTTCCTTCCTTCCTTCCTTCCTTCCTTCCTTCTTTCTTTTCTTTTCTTTTCTTTTCTTTTCTTTTCTTTTCTTTTCTTTCTTTTCTTTCTTTTCTTTTTTTTCTTTTCTTTTCTTTCTGATTTTATTTATTTATGACAGAGAATGAGAGAGAGAGGCAGAGAGAGTAGCAGGCTCCATCCAGGGAGCCCGACGCAGGACTCGATCCTGGGTCTCCAGGATCATGCCCTGGCTGAAGGCGGCACTAAACTGCTGAGCCACTTTGGGCTGCCCTGGGCACAATTTTCTGTTAAGGTCTCAGATCGTAAACATTTTAGGCTTTGTGGGTCACACATTCTTGGTGCAGCATGTCAACTCTGTTCCTTGAAAGCAGTCATGCAAAAGAGAGGCATACCTTGTTTTATTGTGTTTGTTTCTTTTTTCAAGAAAATATTTTATTTATTTATTCATGAGAGAGACAGAGACATAGGCAGAGGGAGAAGCAGGCCTCCTGAAAGGAGCCCAATGTGGGACTTGATCCTGGATCCCAGGATCATGCCCTGAGCCAAAGGCAGATGCTCAACCGCTGAGCCACCCAGGGGTCCCTTATTGTGTTTCTTTATCATGTTTTGCAGATACTGTAGTTTTACAAACTGAAGGTTTGTGGCCACCCTGTGAGCAGGTCTGATGGCACAATTTTTCCAATAGCATTTGCCCACTTCGTGTACCCATTTGTCACATTTTGGTAATTCTCGCAATTTTTTCAAACTTTTTCATTATCATTGTATTTGTTACGGTAATCTGTGATCAGTGATTACGACTTGCTGGAAGCTCAGATGATGGTTAGCATTTGTTAGCGGTATTTTTGTAATTAACGTATCTACGTTATTTTTTGGACATGATGCTACCACACACTTAATAGACTATAGTGTAGTGTAAACATAACCTTTATATGCACTGGGAAACAAGAAAATTCATTTGACTTGCTTTATTGCAGTGTTCTGGAACTGAACCCACAGTATCTCCGAGATATACCTATATAAAAATAAGCAGGCATAGATGTATTTTGATAAAGCTTTATTAGTAGACACTGAAATATGAATTTCATGTAATTTTTGTGTCTCACAAGATACTGTGTTGGTTTTCTTTTTAACCGTTAAAAAGTGTTAAAAACGTTCTTAGCTAATGGGCCATACAGAAGTAGGTGGTAAGGGCAGGCTTTGGCTCACGGGCCATTGTTTGCCAACCTCTGCCTGAAAAGACTGGGCTTACATCTTCCTAGCCCAGAAAGGGTGATAGAAAGCAAGTTCCTCTTTCCCAGTAGTTGAGACAAAAGTCCTAGGATTGACTCTTAATGGGCAGACATGCCCCTCCCTGAGCCAGTCAGAGGCTGGGGGCTCTCAGGGGCTGGTTAGTGGCAGCTTCTGCCAAAGGGCCAAGGTTTGGGGAGCAGAGGTGACCCACAGGAAAAGCTATGCTGCCCCCAGAATGTGGGTCAGTGGGATCGGGGCAGGCAGACACTGCAGAAACACACTGCAGCCGTCTCAGCAGAAATGTCAGCAGGGCTTGTAAAAACGCATTCTGACTTTCCAGGTGACAACATCCGGGAGTTCTTACTGAGCCTCAGATACTTCCGAATCTTCATCGCCCTGTGGAATGTCTTCATGATGTTCTGCATGATCGTGTAAGTCCAGCCTGCCTGTCCCCTTTGTGTCCCAACCCTCCGTGTTGTTCTCCAGGGTGACCCACTACCTGGTCGTTCTCTGGCCTCTCTGTCTTCATTTTGGAGTCACGCTTTCTGCTTTCAAAATAAGAACTCTCTGAGCTAGAGAGGGGAGCAGGGTCTGCAAAGGTTAAACTGTGTCACTGTGGTCTAGGCTGGAGTTTTGATTGGAACACGGTGTTCTCTGAGTCCTGGCTGTTCCTGGCACCTAGCAGAGGCTGCCAAGAGATGCCTTCCCTTGAGCCCATGGCCCTGTCCACCTCTTGCCAGCTCTGCTGTGTTTAGCCTATACTTGGTATCTGCCAAGGTGGAAAATGTGGCTTAATGGCCACTGTGCTGCTGGGTCCTGCTTCTACCCTGCCAGTAGCCAGCAGAAGTGTATTTATTCAGGCTTTTTTTTTTTTTTTATCTGTTTTCATGCTCATTTTCCATTTCCTCATTAGGCTTAAAAAAATCGAATTGGATTGGTTTTCCTTCCACAGTCAGAGCCTTAATTTTAATGCTGCTGATAACGAATTGTGAGACACAGTAGTGTTAAGCAGACTCAGGGGAAAAACAGTAGGAGAATCTGGCAATCACTTGGGCTAATCATGCTGGGCTGGTCCCATTCTTGTCCTAAAGAGGAAGAGAATGAAAAGTCAGCTCTCCCGAGTAATTGAGATGCTGAATTTGGGGTTGCTGGGTGATCCTTGTGCCAGCCCAGTGGCTGTTTGAGATGATTCCTGGACTTGGGAGATTTTTTTTTTTTTTAAAGATTTCATTTATTTATTCATGAGAGACACAGAGAGAGAGACAGAGACATAGGCAGAGGAAGAAGCAGCTTCCATGCAGGGAGCTTGATGTGGGACTCCATCCCTGGACCCGGGATCACACCCTGAGCTTAAGGCAGATGCTCAATCACTTAGCCACCCAGGTGTCCCAGGACTTAGGGGTTTCACTGGGCTACGGAAAGTGTTTTAGAGCCCAGAATGAGGACCGTGATGTATGCCCAGAGAATCCCTTTTCGGGAGCTCATATGAGGCCTGCCCGGGTACAAAGAGGGCTTGTGAAGAAATCAGGGAATTTGCACATGATAGGGAGTATCATTAGGATTCACAGGAAGGGATCCCTGGGTGGCGCAGCGGTTTGGCACCTGCCTTTGGCCCAGGGCGCAATCCTGGAGACCCGGGATCGAATCCCACGTCGGGCTCCCGGTGCATGGAGCCTGCTTCTCCCTCTGCCTGTGTCTCAGCCTCTCTCTCTCTGTGTGACTATCATAAAAAAAAAAAAAAAAAAAAAAAAAGGATTCACAGGAAGTAGGACAGTGTCAGGTGGTGCTCTTCCAGCTTTGGTCTTTCCAGGTTCCCACCTGTGCTTTCCTCCCTTCATTTATTTACAACTATTCAGCGTGGGCTGTGCCTTGGGCTTATAGCTGAGACCAAGATAGGCATAGTTCCTGCCATCAGCGAATGCACAGTATAATAGATGGGACAGGGACAGAAAAATAAATAGGGAAAAAATCACTAATGAGGTGAATGGGAGGTTCTCAATTTACGAGATGGTCAGGAAGAGGCTCACAGAGAAGTGCTATTTAAATAGAAACCTGGGCAGCCTGGGTGGCTCAGCGGTTTAGCGCTGCCTTCAGCCCAGGCCATGATTCTGGGGACCTGGGATTGAGTCCCACGTCAGGCTCCCTGCATGGAGCCTCTTTCTCCCTCTGCCTGTGTCTCTGCCTCTCTCTCTGTCTCTCATGAGTAAATAAATAAAATCTTTCAATCAATTAATCAATCAAAACCTAAAGAACATGTAAAAGCCTTGCCATTTGCAGAGCCGGAGAGACATGATAGCATGTGCAAAGGTCCTGGGGGCAGAGAAAAACACTGTGTTTTCATCATTCTTTTCTGTCCATCAGCTTCATCATCCTCTCGCCCAGCTAGCTCCCTTTACTGTTCATTTGCTGGCCTGTGACCAAGATGGTCACCTTAGGCTCTGTGACCTCCTAGCTCAGCCCAAGGCTATCTTTGTCTGCAGCCCGGTGTCCTGATTTTGCTTCCTGGGAGCAGAGCCTGATTGACCTAGCTAGGTGTGACTCAGGTCCAGTTAGATTGGGGTTATCCTGATTCCAGCATAATCACTTAGGTCAAGTCAGCAAACCACAGCCCATGGGCCATATCTAGTCTGTTTCCTGTTTTCATGAATGAAGTTTTATTGTCATACAGCCACACCTATTTCTGTGACTGTTTGTGCACTACAGCAGAGGGGTTTGAAGCCATGTGACAGAAACTGCTAGGCCTACAAAGCCCAAACTCCTCATCCTGTGGCTTTTTGCCGACCCCTGACCTAGGCCACCTCTTTCAGTAGGGGCCACAAGTGAGGGAAGATCCTCTTCAGAAAAAGGTCTGTCAGGGAGGTAGTGAGTAGCTTTCCCAGGATATTAGAAAACTGGAAATCACCGGGGACACTTGGGTGGCTCAGGAGTTGAGCGCCTGCCTTCAGCCCAGGGCGTGATCCTGGAGTCCTGGGATCCAGTCCTGCATCAGGCTCGCTGCATGGAGCCTGCTTCTCCTTCTGCCTATGTCTCTGTCTCTCTCTGTCTCTCTCTCTTTCTGTGTCTCTCATGAATAAATAAATGAAATCTTTAAAAAAAAACAAAAAACCTGGAAATCACCTAAATGTCCAAGAACGCGGGAAGAGTCAGGTAACTCAAAAGGATGCCCATCCAAGCAGCTGTCACAGCACTATAACTGATGATGTCTTGAAAGTTCTGTCTACATGGGGGGCAATGTTTTGCAGGCAAAGAAGGCTGCCTGTCACTTATATGCACACTCTGGCCTCAGTTGTGATTTGCATATAGCAAACATTGAGTACATGCCTGAAGTCTGTGGAGAAAACCCTTCCAGCCAGGGAGTTGGAAGCATCTACTCCAGGCTGTCCACAGAGATGACTGTGCTCAGATTGGAGAAGAGATTAACTGGGCCTGAGAGGATGGTTTGCAGTTCCCTCCCCCCACTTTTATATTGTTTGAGCTGAGCTACTTTGGAAATTTTTACAAGTCCTGAAAAACATGAAATTTGGAGAGAAACGTGCCTGAGTGTTTAGGAACCAAGAGTATTAATATCTGCAACTTAACTATGAAATGCATCAAAAATAAGGTAGACAAATGAATAGGTATGCTGTAAAGCAAAATTATTTTTTATTTATTTATTTGAGAGAATGAGAGCATGGGCCGGAGGAGGAGTAGAGGGAAAAGCAGACTCCCTGCTGAGCAGGGAGCTTGACATGGGACTCGATCCCAGCACCCTGAAATCATGACCCAAGCCAAAGGCAGATATTTAACTGACTGAGCCACCCAGACACCCCAAGCAAAGTTTTTTGTTGCTGTTTTTTAATTCAAGAGAGAGAACCCCAAGCCAACTCCCTGCTGAGCCTGGAGCTTGACGTGCGGCTCCATCTCATGACTCCGAGGTCATGGCCTGAGCCGAAATCAAGTCAGAGGCTCAACTAACTAACCCACCCAGGTGCCCCAGTAAAGCAGTGTTGATTGTAGAATTGAGGTGGTATATATGCGAGTGTTCACTGAACTATTCTTTTAACTCTTCCATATGTTAAAATCTTCATGATAAAATGCTGGGTGGGAAGACAGGGAGAAAATGAGGGTGTCAAACCACGGAGAATGATTAATAAGTAAAAAGTGGAAGTCAGTCTTTACAGTTCAGAGTTTTGTAGTATATTCATGGGGTTTTGAAACCCCCGGCATAATCCAGTCCTAGACATTTTCATCACCCCAAAGGGAAGAAACCTCAGACCCATTAAGCAGTAACTGCCTGTTCTTCCCTCAAGTTCCTGGTAATCACTTAATCTACTTTCTGTCCTTTTGGATTTGCTAGTTCTGGGTATTTCATGTAAATGGAATCGTAACGATATATGGTCCCTTTTGTGTCAGGCTTCTCTCATGCAGTGTGATGTCTTAAAGGTTCCAGCGTGTTGTAGCGTGTGTCAGCACTGCATTCCTTTCTGTGGCTGAAGAATAGTCCATTGTATGTCTGTGCCACAGCTTGTTTATCCTCTCATCAGTTGATGGATATCTGGGATGTTTCCATTTTTTTGGCTGTTTATGAGCCTTGCTGATACAAATACTTGTGTACAAGTTTTAGTGCAAACTTAAGGTTTCAGTTTTCTTTGCTCTATACCCAGGAGTGAAATTGCTGGGTCATATGGTAACTCTGTATTTGTCCTTTTGAGGTTCTGCCAGAGTAGTTTTTAAAAGTAGCTGCAGCAATTTGCCTTCCCACCAGTAGTTTATGATGGTTCCAATTTCCCCCACGTCCTTGCCAACGCTTGTTATTGTCATTATTTTTTTTTAAAGGATTTTATTTATTTATTCATGAGAGACAGAGAGGCAGAGACACAGGCAGAGGGAGAAGCAGGCTCCATGCAGGGAACCTGATGTGGGACTCAGTCCAGGGACCCCAGGATCATGCCCTGGGCTGAAGGCAGGCACTAAACCGCTGAGCCATCCAGGGATCCCCTATTGTCATTATTTTTGATTAGAGCCATCCTAGTGGATGTGAAGGTTGATTAGCATTTCCCCAATGGTTAATGACATCGAGCCTCTCTTCATGTGTTTATATTGGTCATTTCTATATCTTCTTTGGAAAAATGTCATATAAGTCCTTTGTCCATTTTTAAATTGGGTTATAACTGAGTTATAAGGTTTTTTTTTTATAGTCTAGAATCCAGTTCCTTACCAGATATATGATTTGCAAGTATTTTCTCCCATTCTCTGGGTTGTCTTTTTTACTTTCTCAATGGTGTCCTTTGAAGTGCAAAAATACTTAATTTTGATAAATTCTAATCTATTTCTGTCATTTTATCGTTTGTGCTTTTTGTGTTGTAGCTAAAAATCGTTGCCCAAACCAAGGTCATGAAGATATAGGACTAAGTTTTGTTTTAAGAGTTTCATTATTTTGGGATCCCTGGGTGGCTCAGTGGTTGAGCCTTCAACTCAGGTTGTGATCCTGGGGTCAGGGGATCGAGTCCCACATCGGGCTCCCTACATGGAGCCTGCTTCTCCCTCTGCCTATGTCTCTGCCTCTCTCTCTCTCTGTGTCTCTAGAATAAAAAAATAAAATCTTAAAAAAAAAGTTTTATACTTTTAATTTTACTCGTTAGGTCTATAATATACTTTGAGGTAATTTTTACATCTGGTGTGAGGTAGGGATCCAACTTCATTCTTTTGATGTGGTGATCCTGTACCATCTGTTGTTCTTTTTTCAAAAGGCCTTTTTATCTTGGAAAGAGTTTAGATTTAAAGAAATGTTTCAAAGATATACATATGTAGGAACTCTGTTATCTTCACACACACACCCCTCTCCAGGCCTTTCCTATTCAGATTTTCTTCACTGAATAGAGTTAACTGTAATCACCTGTTTACTCAAAAATACCCTTTTTTTTTTTCAATTTATGAAAGTCATCACTGACTTACAGTAATAAAGAATGGGCTAAAATAAAATGTTATAGATTTTGATGAAGGAGGGGATCCCTGGGTGGCGCAGTGGTTTAGTGCCTGCCTTTGGTCCAGGGCGCAATCCTGGAGACTAGGGATCGAGTCCCATATCGGGCTCCCTGCAAGGAGCCTGCTTCTCCCTCTGCCTGTCTCTCTCTCTCTCTCTCTCTCTCTCTGTGTCTATCATGAATAAATAAATAAAATCTTTAAAAAAAAAGATTTTGATGAAGGAGATACTTTCTTAAATAGCTTTTTTCTTTTTAAAACGTACCATGTTGGGATGCCTGGGTGGCTCAGTCAGTTCAGCACTGACACTTAATATCAGCTCAGGTCTTGATCTCAGGGTTGTGAGTTCAAGCCCTGTGTTGGTCGCCATGCTGGGTGTGGAGCTTAGTTAAATAAAATAAAATAAAATATACTTTTTGGTAGTGTTAAGTATATTCATGTTGTGTAACAGAAAATTTACTTATAAAATCAATAAACAATATAAAATAATCTTAAAAATAGTGACATAAAATATTTTCTGAAAGTGTTTTCCTAGCTAGAGCTTTCCATCCTTTCCATCCTCATGGCCATTTCTGCCCTCTGACTTCCAGGCTGTTTGGCTCCTGAGCGCCAGATACACACCTTCCTGGGAACCAGGAACCAGGAACCACCTTCCCAGATGCCGAGTCTCCCTTCCTCTGTTCCTGACGACTTCAAGAATGGTTTTGACCGGAAAACCAGTGACCTTCCCAGAAAGCCCAAGTTCTTGGTGGGTGGAAAAAATGTTTGCCAAGCTGCACACGGCTTCCCAGCCACGTCATTGTTTTCTTTTCAAAGATATTTTCACTTTGGTCTCTGCGTTGAAATGCTGTCTACTTAAGGAGTTTTAGGAGGGCTTATGGAAGGGGATGTGATAACATTGCATTCCTCACAGACAAAAGAACGTGTCTTGATTGTTTTTTTAGATTGAAATTCCTCTTCTACCAGCCTTCTACGAGAAACTCATTTCTGGATGTTTCTTGCTTTATTTTTAATAACCATCCTTTTTGGTTCCAGTTATACAGATTTTTCAAAATAATTTTTATCCAGGGATCTGAAACAGAAAGGTTGGCTTTTAAGATTGATGCAGCCTCTTTATTGGACTATGTTTAGGAATAACAAGCGGGTTCATTGTTTCTGGGCCTATGTCCAGATTCCTTTCCTGTCTCAATGGGCTCTGCTTGGCCACTGAGTGTCACTGAGGTCATCCCCAGGACTTTAAGGGTAAAGTATTACTGATTCCCATGGAAGAGAGGTACAGAACACTTGGCAGGCACAGATGTGGGTTTTAGGAGAAACTTTGCCCTGCCTTAAAGCCCTTCTGTTAAAGTAACTCTTGGGGCCACTAATTGTATAGTTTCTGGAATGAGAGTGACATACGTGGTAATACTGGGACCCAGTTCTGAAAGCTTGAAACTTGGGGTCTTCTTTTCAAGTGAGTGATTTCAAGATTGAAGAGCAGTGAACCTCATTCGAGGAAATACAGCATTTTGGACAGAAGCTTCTTTGAAAGGCAGGTCCTTTAGCGCCAAAATGAAATGCCGGTGGTCGACATCCAGACCCTACAGTGTTTCATTTGTTTGTTGTGGTTTTTGAAATCCTGATTTGTAGGTAAACCTGGTGGGAGGAAAAAGTAAATCTACAGACTTTCAGAACTCAGCATTGAAAATAAAACTTATTTCTAAAAAGGAGCTTTTGTTTATACATTTTTTTTTTTTTTTTTAACCAAGAAGTTAGTTGACTTCCAACTGGAGTTGTTTTGAATTACCCTCTGGGAAACGCTGAGGAATCATTTTGGAGGCTGTCAAAAAAGTGAGAAAAGAGGCACTGTTAGATTTCCCCCTTTTGGATTTTCCTTAAAAAATGTCAGGCCAGAATTGGGCAAATGTGCTTTTGACCTGGCTACTTTTAGAAGTATTGAAAGAGCCAATGAGAACAGTAGGGTTTTGCTAGACCAGGGTCAAATCCACTTTTACTGCTGCTTAGCTGACATTATTCTGCTCCCGTGCTCCTATAATTTAATTCCCTTGTCAAACCCCGGCCTACAGTTTGTCAGTATCAGGGAATGTAGCTGTTGAATCGAGCTTCATCTGGGCCTGTGTCCTTGTCAGCAAGAACAGGCGTGCCAAGATCTGGGCTGGTCATCCCTCCAGCTGTGTCAATGGTGCGAGGAAACCGAGGAAACCTCGCTGCCTTATTCAGACTGCTGCTGAGGTTTCAATGAGGCGAGGCATTTGTAGTATGGGGATGAATCATGCTTTGAGAAGAGAATGCTGTCATTGAGATTTTGTTTCAATAGTCGTATTTTTTCCCAGAGAACTGTTACCTCGTTGTTAAGCTACTGCAAGCAGTGTAGCTTTGGAGGCTGCTGTCCATTTTAAAAGTTGCATCTCCTGGATGTTCATCTTTAGGAAGCTTTTCAAGAACCCTGGTTCACATTGAAGGTTATCAAAGTTTGGGTTTTGGGTGCGTACTGTTGCCCAACATTTAAGTGCTCACGTTCTGGGCCAGTTAGACCTGGGTTCAAGTCCCATCTCTGCTCCTTGCCAGTGGGACCTTGGCTGCTTGCTTCCCCAACCCCTGCCTCAGTTTTCAGTTTCCGAAATGGGTCTGGAAGTCCCATCAGCCAGGGGTCGTTGTAAGGGTCAGCACCTCAAATGTGGGCCGACTGATTGAGCACCTGGCACCCAGAAAGGAACTCAAAACCTGAGTGTCCTCACTGCCAGCATCTTCTGTACTCTCACCCGCATTCGTGCATGCAGTCTGCACACACACCGTCAAAGGGATGTGACATCGTTTAAAAGCATTAGAAACAGCTTTCCAGCATGGAAAACCTTCTCCTGTCTTCCTGTTTCCTTTCTAGCATTTTCATTACATGTATTGATATTCAGGCATACCTTGGAGATATTGCAGGTTCAGTTCCAGACTGCCCCAATATAGCGAATAATTGCAGTAAAGCAAGTTAAATGAGTTTTTTGGCTTCCCGGTGCATATAAAATGTCGACACGTTTATATTTACACTACACTGTGGCCTCTTAAGTGTGCTGTAGCATCACGTCCAAAAAACCAGCGTGCTTACCTCAATTAAAAAATATTTTATTGCCAAAAAATGCTAATTGCCATCTGAGATTTCCGTGCGTTGTAACCAGTGATCATGGATCACCAAAGCAAATACGGTAATGATGAAAAAGTTTGGAATGTTGTGAGAATTAGCAAAATGTGACACAGACACAAAGCGACCAGATGCTGCTGGAAATATGGGGCCAAGAGACCGGTGACGGCAAACCTTCAGGTTGTAGAAAACACAGTCTGTGAAGTGCAGTAAAGTGAGGTATGCCTGGATACGACGTGGCTTGATAGGAGATAAGGTGGTGTAGGGTCTACTGTGTTCATTTCAGCGTCATTTCCTTCATATTTTCTGGGCTGCCAGACAGGCTTCATGGTGCTGGGTTTTATTACCTCACGGTGTCAGTAAATCTCTCTTTGACCTTGGCCCTCTTGCCTGTCCTCTTGTATGTGCTTTGAACTTGTACTTCGCCCACTGTTATAAATGCCATTGTGATTATTATTGTGATCTTTGTTGGCTCCCTTCACTGGTGCTTCTGCAGAACCTAGGGAGGCCACATCATTGTGTACCACCACTGGAGCTTCAGTGGCTTCTGTTTTGTGTTATGTTCAGGTTTCTTACTTACTATCAATGCATGTTCGTTGTAGACACAGTTGTAAAATACAGCCTTCCTCTAAGGAATAAAACCACCGATAATCACCTTCCCCACCTTCCCTCATCACTCGAGGTACACATCCTTCTGGCTCTTTCTCTCTGCATGTGCCTTGGGTATGGTGCACACATTTTTGTTACATAAATTGTATCTCTGTATCTTTAGCCTGCTTTTGTCACCTGAGAATACATTTCTATATTTTTTCCTACAATTACCGTTCTTAATAACTGCAAATAAGTCTTTATAATGACGTGACATAATTGCTTTAACTTGTCCCAGCCAATGGAGACTTACTTGAGTTGTCTCAAGTTTTTATCTATTATAAATAACACTGTGATGACCATCTCAGTATCATCCTGAATGAATTCTGGGGGTCACCTTTTTTTTTTTTTAAGATTTTATTTATTTATTAGAGTGTGTGCATAGCAGAAGGAGAGGGAGAAACAGACTCCCCACTGAGGTTGGAGCCCGACGTGGGGCTTGATCACAGGGCCCCAAGATTGCCACCTGAGCTGAAGTCTGGTGCTTAATTGAGCCATCCAGGCACCCCTTGGGGTCACTTTTAAAAAGAGATCTGTCTTGACAGCTTTGGGTTAAGAACTCCAAAGAAAAATGCATCTTGGACGGTTTGCATCTTCCTTGTTCATTTGTTCATACATATGTACCTTCATATATATAAGAACTGGGTTCTAAATCCCCATCAGCTTTGACTGGGAGTGGTATTAGGCTACTTCAGTTGGTTTTAACCTGTTAATAAGGACGAGATTTTTCAGGCTTCATCCAGATAACTTTCTTTGTGCAAGCGACTGCAGTTGATATCACACCAGTTGGCTTTCCACCTTGGTCTTGATTAGGGACCTTAACCACCATCTATGTAATAAATACCCACTGCTACTTGCCCAGGAGCATGTTACATGGAGTCACGGCCAAGTGAGAAGCTGCATGTTGAGAATGAAAACAAGGCTGCAGTTGGCCACACCTTTCCTTTGGGATTCATGTTGGAAACCCCCTTTCGTTTCCTCTACTTTGGCATCTCGAGAGGTGGAACACGTCCTTTCTTTGGGGGGTTTCTCATTGCACTTCAGTTTCAGTTGTTCTAGAGCAGAAGTCAGAAACTATGGTTCCCAGGCAGAGCCTGGCCAGCCACCTGTTTTTGTAAATAAAGTTTTATTGGCACCCAGCCACACTTCTTCGAATATGTGTTGTCTAAGACTGCTTTAGTTCCTTCTTGATATAATGGCAGAGTTGTGACAGAGACCATCTGGCCGATGGAGCTGAAAATATTGTCTTCCTGGCCCATTTATGTGATACATTTGCTGACCTCTGAGCTAGGGGACAATAGAGAATCTCGAGGTGCCCTTTCCCCCCAGAGCCACTCAAGTGGAGTTATCGACATACTTTGTGGTCTAGATTTTAATAAACACATTCAAATTTGCTGAAAATTGAGCCAGCCATTTTCAAGCGTATGCTTAATAGACCAAAACATAATTGTATTTCTCTTGATAGTTAGGGGAGAGATCTCTTCTGGGCTCCCTGTGATTCTCCGGAGTGAGAGCTCCTCCGCGCCAGCCACACAATGTGATAATGAGATCGGCTCTCCTCTGAAGTGGTTAGATTTGAAAAGCCATCGAGGCTGTCATTAGTGAGGCATTTTCTTTTCATTTCAACTGTTTCATTATCTCCTCCTTAACCACATTTGTGTTTATGAAATATTTGACAAGCCTCCCGATGTTTTCCCATGTTGATGAAAGACGTACGCTGTTTGTGTATAAAGCAAAAGACCTGGTCTTTTTTAAAGGAAGATATAAATTCTACTTGGGGGTTTGTTTTCATCATTTCCTTGATTTCCATTATTGCACAGAGAAAAGTACTTGATCCGCTTTGAGCCCCTCTGGCACTTGAGAGTTGCTGGAAATGAGAGTTTGGTAATAGTGAGCATTCCTGCATGAGAAATTGAACAGAGGGGTCTAGAGCAAGTTAGAAATTCAAAGTCCACATTTTTCTTTCTTTTTTTTTTTTTTTAAAGATTTTATTTATTTATTCATGAGAGAGACAGAGAGGCAGAGATGTAGGCAGAGGGAGAAGCAGGCTTCCCGCAGGAAGCCCGATGTGGGACTCGATCCCAGGATCCTGGGATCACACCCTGAGCTAAATGCAGACACTCAACCACTGAGCCACCCAGGTGCCCCAGTATTGTATTGTATTGTATTGTATTGTATTGTATTGTATTGTATTGTATTGTATTGTATTGTATTGTATTTCATTTTATTTATTTTGTTTTCTCGTAAAGACATAGGTGGATCCTGTTCATCTGTGTTTAGTTCACATTATTGTTACAGCTGTTAGTGATAAATGTGGGCCACAAGGCATGGAGTATGCTAGGGGGAGTTGTAGAAATTCTTTTAAGGGGAATAGAGCTTTAGTGCATTTAATTAGAGTTTATTCTGTGAATCAGAGGAAAACATGGAAAGGATGGTTATGGTAGAAAGCAAGGTAGAGGTCTGGGCCGGACCCAGGCTCTGTCCCTTACGGAGTGTCATGTGGGGCAGTGAAGTAGAATCTTTGTACCCCCATGTCGTCATCTATGATATGAGGACAGTGAGAGAGAGAGAGCTTTAATGTGTACCTATAACCTGCCTCACACTTGGTGGGCACTCAATAAATGGTAGTATTTTCGTTGCTGACATTTCTTTTGTTAAAAGACCTCCTTGATGGTTTTTGTGAAGCTTAAATGAGATAGTGCCTTAGTCTGCTTGGATCATTATAACCAAATGCCACAGACTGGGAGATTTGAACAACAGACATTTATTTTCTTATGTTTCTGGGGGCTGGGAGTCCAATCAAGGTTTCAGCAGGACTGGTTCCTAGTGAGGCCTTCCTCTTTGGCTTGCAGACTGCTGCCTTCTTGCTGTGTGCTCGCATGAACTTTCCTTTGTATAGTATTGGATCAAGGGCCCACCCTATGACCTCAG